AATAGCTTGCCCTCTGGACTGCCCGTTGATCTTCTTGTAATGCTCTATGACCCGGTCTTCACTGTAGGACAGTAAATAAAGAGAAAAAGGAAAGATATTAGGAGTGGTAAAAACAATACAAGTTGGTAAGAGTCAGGATAACTGACTAGCCTCTCACCAGTAAGCCAGAGATGGGTGCTCCTTCAGGGCCTGGGTGGGCAGAGCAGGCAGCTTTTTCAGGTCAGACCTGGTTACATCATTACTGTGAGGGAGAAACCACAAGAAATGGTCAACACCACTTTTGCAAGAACAGTCATTCCCTGCTGTAGGCTGAACCGCTTCAGTCAAAGCCTGACGAGGCGATAGCTGTAGAAAAGGGAACTCTTGAAATATTTAGTGCAACAAGTTATTGCAAATGAGTATTTCGGGGGAAATGTCTTAAAAATGAAATGTTATCTGTGCTAATGGCCTTAATGCTCTCTATTTCAGAGACTGGACACTGTTTATCTCAGAACAGCTGCAGAGACACTCAGGGTAGGAAACAGGAGAGGAAAAGAGAGAGACAAACACAGACACAACCACACAAGATAGATAAAGACAGATAAATGGAGATAGAAATGTGATGGAGGAAAAGATAACCACAAAGGCAGAGTAAATGAGACAGGGAACCACGCAGAGAAACTTGGCCCGAGATTGGCTTTTCAGACCTCCAAAAGCAGGAGGTCTTAATACCCGACTCTAATCCCCGAGAACTCTCTCCAGCCTCCACCAAGGCCTCGGGGGATTGGGGAAAGCCCTGGGAACATGGCAACCTATGAGCTAAAGCCCTGGAAGAGATGCCATTCACCCAGCCCGCCTGTTCTTCAACGTGTGACCACAGCTGTGTGTCTGGATTGCTTGATATTCATTCAAGTAACTATACTCATTAGGTATACGTATGTGGTTGTTGGCACAGCTTTTGCATTGTTCTTGAGGAAAGGGCAGACAAGGGTTCAATCCGATCAAATCCAACATGTGCACTGTGGCACTGTGACATATTTACAAGTCACTAAATCATATAAGTCTCAGAATCTTATTTTGCTTTAAACTGTTTGAAATAATACAAAAGAGTCGACGTCTTTCAAATGCAGATTCACTTGTTGCTAGATTTATTGAACACCTGTGAAATGATTGAAAGTCGACTGATCCCACGAGCATCAATAGAATTACTCTTGATTCAAGGAAATTCTTGGAACAAACAAAACGATTTCACACTTATTTTGGAAAAATTATATCTAAAGAGCCAATATATTAGCCAATAATATCAGTCATGATTGGTATTTTTCGAGGAGAAGCTGTGACAGATATACGGAGGAGGGGTGCAGTGTATGTAGTAGGAGTAGGAGTTTTTAGAGAAGGGAGGTATGTGTGTGTGGGACGAATAGCGTAAGGAAAGGGGGAGGAGGAAGAGAGGAATGTCTCCACAGTGTGTCACATTCCAGCCCTCTGCAGGATATTGTGTTTATTTACTCCTTTCACCGGCGGAAATGAGGTCAGAGGTGGTGGCAGCTGTAGTCTGTTATCTGTGCTACAACAAAGGGCTGAGTGGATGAGCGATGGCAAATATTTAGGCCAACATCACACAGAGGTTACGACATGTGGAACGCAGCTCACGGGGAACTCGCATATGACTGGAAAGCTTTTTTTACATTTTCTGTTGGTATATTAGGAACATTCATTATGGCCCAATGGTGAGCCCTGTCGTGAAAACTCCCAACAAAGACCCTCTGTCTTTCATTACACACAAACTGTATACAAACACACACATACACACAAAGACATGAAGTCCTTTGTAATGCTTTCTTCATGAGTGGCAGCACAGTCTGAAAAGAGGGAACCAAAGAAGAACGGATGAAGTAAATCAAGCTCAAACACAAAGAGAGTTCTCGGTGATGCACCTCAACACTCAGGGGAGCAGAGGAGCGGAGACCACTGATATCACTTCTATTGTTTATCTCCCTTCTGAATCGACATGTATCAACCCAACCAACCCTGTCCCTGGGGAAGAAACTGAGACAAAAAATGGGATATAAAAATAGGTAGAGAGCACTCCCAGCTACAACCTATACTTTCTTATATGTACATTACATATAATCACAACTAGTTAGTAATATGCTTACCTGGTGAAATCTCCTTTAGCCTCCTGTGAAGCAGAAAGGGAAAAAGAGAAGTAGTGAGAGAAGACAGGAAGTACATAAATGGATAAGAGAGCACCAAGCAGTGATTATAAAACGTGTGTTTATGTTCTGTTTGCACTGGTGAATGTGAAGTCAGGTCTGCTGTGCTGGAATCAGAGAGAAACACTAAACGTCCATCTGGAGTGAAACCACTGAAGGCCTGCAGAGCAGATACCTGATACTGTGCCTCTGCACCTGCATACAGAACACACACACACACACACACACACACGCACACACACACACACACACACACACACACACACACACACACACACACACACACACACACACACACAGACAAACCACTCAGCTCAGCCTATGTGTAACATGACCTTGCAGCATCACAGTTAATGGACTGACCAACTCTGAGAAAGGGATAGGAGAGAGAAAGAGCTGGCATTGAGGATAATTTGTGAGGTATAAGAGTTTCCCCTCTGCTCTGTTATACATTAGCACTGACTGACTGCACCGAGAATTCAGATGGGAGCCAAGAATTTTGCTACCAACGAAAGACAGTTGAGGTTCTTTTATTTAGGATTTAAAACCTCCATGCGTCATTGCAGATCACTGACAGTTTGATGAGTGCATTAGATAATTTGTCTTTTAGTCAATGAAAATCAAAAGCTTGCGGAGACATTTTAGGAGAACACTTTTATTGCAGAGTAATAAACTACTACGAGAATAACGAGTATGTTTGGCTGCATGTGCTAGTGGTGAAAAATAGATATCCAGACACACACACACACACACACACACCCACACAAACACACTTAATCTTACTTGTAGAATAAAGGCAGCCACTTCGAAGACAATATCGCTGTCCACTTCAATAAGCTCCTGCAGGACACAGAGAGAAGAGAGGACAGGGGTCATGAATGACACATTCTCATACTGCTCGCAGAGAGTAAATAAATAAAACACAAACTGTGCCGATGTTGGGAGCAAAAGTGGCCGTGCCTCTGATCGTCATCCATTTATATGAGATGGGTTGCTAGTTCCTTTCATCTCCCGACCACTTCCCCTCTATTTTCCTCTCTCCCCTCTCTAATTTCATGACCTCTTCATGTGGATGGAGCTCAGAGATTAGTGGCCAACTGAGGGGGTTCAAGGTAGGCATGGATGCTCTGGTTACTGATTACTCAGTACATTCTCCAAAGGTACCTTTTAATTGTATTACTTTTATTTTGGTTATTTGATGACATGTGGACATTCCTGAGGAAAAAGTAAAAGTCTTTAACTGAATGATTATTAGTGATGTTAGTTTTGTTACTGGCGTTAGTGCATGTAATCATCGACCGTGTGCGCGTACATATACATGACAGGCTACGTGTGCATTGAGGGGGAGAAGGATAAGGGTTAGTGGGCAGTGAGTAGTGGGTCAAGTATGCCAGGAATGTTCCCTTTACAATCCACCATTTAATTGGTTGGGAGATCAGACAGCCAGGATGAAACACTAGACACAAACCCACCCTGAGTGTACCACCCAGCGTGGCTACAAATCCTCCCTTAGTGTGTGTTATTGTACTGTATGAGAACGTTTCTCACTACTTATACAAACACTGACAGCAGAGGGAGGGGACATATATCCTGATCTACTTTATTTGAACTACTGAGTACTTGCAACATGTTCTCTAAAAATACAATTACATTTCTTTTTTTTTTTGCTCTCTTTCTGTTTGCCCCTCCCCCTCCACGGGGTCGTCGGGAGAGCTGGTAGAGAGATCTTTGGTGTTAAGCTGAACTTCTTATCAGGGTGACATGAGATGAATGAGCAGAGAGGGATCTGATATCTCCGTCAAGGACGTATTAACAGAGCTACTGGTGGGACGGAATCAGAAAGCTTCTGTTTGTGGGACAGTCTCTACTGGACTACTTGGTTTCATAGTCACTGCCGTTCGAGTCTCCCTGTCACTGCAGCGTGACAGGTCCTCGCAAATGGAACAACTAGGCTTAAACTTGACAACCAGTGAAATTAGGCTTGCTTTACTATTTGACAACATTAGTCAAGGGAGGCACCCATTCATACCCCTTGCATAAAAAAACCTGTTTATAATGCACTATACTGAAGATGCATTCAAAACTTCCAACATTACAGGAGAGAACGACAATACTCTGTATTTAAACATGTTGGATTTGGCTCTGCTGAAGCTCACCACCACTGTCCGCAGATTGAATATTATGTCTAACATTATGGCAGTTCTCTCTCGGGCTTTGACTGGCCCATTGTTTTTCTTCAGGCCACATACGCCCTCTTCTGGTCATGTCAAATAACTAATATGGAGGCCAATTTTGGATAGTTAGAGGACTTCAATTGCAATGTACTGTGTTCATGTCATCTTCAGTTAAAGTAATTGTGTCTGATACTGTTATGAGTATATGAGTATTGAAAATAAACACAATCGATGTTTCCCCATTGCCTTTTTGTCCATAGTCTATATATACAGCATGCTACAAATAAAAATGCCTCTAGATAATAATATTTTATACTGAGCACATCAGTGTGCAGTTGGTCTTTTTTGTGTGTGTGTGTGTGTGTAGTAGTTTTGTGTGTTAGTGTTTTAACAAAGAGAGACCTAGTTTCAGAACTTGTGTTTTAGCAATTGCAAAAAACTGTAAAACGACATAAATGTGCGTCAACACAGACAGACAGATGACAGAAAGTGTGTCAAATGAATCGCTAGTTGCTGGAATGTGGTGCAGCACATAACACGATGGGTAACAGCTGATGCCAATGGTTCACATTGTCGGCTTCACCAAATCAATGTAGAGCACCGAAGTCCAGTCAGGCCTCTTCATTTAGAAAAAGAAATGAGCTAATGAAATGGCACGCTTCCAACAACATAATTACTCCACATAACCCGAACTTGAAATGTACTCACAAAACACTTCAACGTTATTCTCGTTGAGTATTCCTACTACCCATTGTTGTTAAGCCTTCAGGATTAGCACATCCCTCCATTATAACAAGTCAACAGTAAAAGGACTACACATAATGGCAACAAAATGAATAGTTTACCTTGTAGATGATGGATTTGGCATTAAGGAAAAACAGCTCAATAGTGGCATTGTCCTTCAGGTAAGATATACTCTCTATGTAGAACCTGAAAACATAGAAGGGACATCTTCAATACATTTGAAACAACAAAGGGAACAATTACACAAGTTGACCTTCAGTTCTATAAAAAACACCAGTGAGGCTTATCATGTATTTGCATCATAAAGAAAAATAACACATTCATAATATAGGAGAATGAGTTAGACATGCAGGCTATGGTAGCGTCATGTGCAATGACCAAAATGACCAGAGGGGGGCACACCATACCTAAAGCTGACCCTGTGTCCAACATCCTTTCACTTCCCATGAAACCAATTCCCTCTCTCACCATGGTGGCTAGCAATGATCCATTATTAGTTTGTTGGTGTGAGCTCATTCCACAATCTGAATGCACACACACATAAACACGCACGCACACACACACACGGACTGAATGTGCACATGATGCACTCCACACATCACAGTCTGCCTCTCTGCATCATCAGCACTGTGTAGTGATTCCACATGCACATACAGTACTTACACACACACATACTGGAGAGAGAGAGAAGCACAGTAACCCACTTCTGGCAGAGTGGTGAGGAGGAAGCTAACATAATAATGCCTTCTAAATTTAGCCCATGGATGCATGCAGAGCCAGAGGGGGAGCTAGGAAGCTACTCATTGTTAGCTTTTCTCTGCTGGAAACGTACATCAAGATAAAACACACTAAACGCCGTGTGTAAATGACTTGATGCATCTCTACACGTGTGTGTAATGTGACGTAAGCACATGTTCCTATGAACACACGTGAGTGAATGTGTCGATTCGTGTGCTTATGAGTGTGAAGGTATATTGAGTGAGAGGGATTGTAGGAGGATCAATATTGGGAGGGCTTAAACCGCATTGCCAATTGAGCTGCAAGAGAGAACGTGAGGAGCCGTGTCAATATTCAGTGCGAACATTTAATTAAAGCCACAGTGTTGATGAGACATACACACACTGCCAGCACAGCAGCAAGCGTGCGAAAAGGGACCCGCGGAATCGGCAGGAGGTGGGCATCTGCCTAGCATTCATTGGGAACACAGGCATCACACAAATACCACGTAAGCATGCAAATACATGACGTGCATACACCTACGCAGGCACACAAACAAAACGCAGCCAGGCACACATATGCACACACAAAAAAAACATAAAGATTGTGCTAATGAAAACAATATGCTCAAATTGATAATAGATTCAGGCCTGACATTTGGGCTGACAGTTGTTCCATTATAGTCCTGAATCTGCACATGTATGTGTACGGGTGTCTAAGAAATAGGGTTGGATGTGTGTGTGTGTGTGTGTGTGTGTGTGTGTGTGTGTAAGAGGGAGGTGTAGTCAGTGTGACATTTGGATAGATTGAGGTTCGAGATTAGACTGAACTGTGAGGAAAAAACGGGGGGATGAAGCAGGAAAATGGTGTCAAAGTTCAAAATGTCACAGCACCACCACCATATCATCAAACAGCTATTAGTTTGTGTAAATACACACACAGTGACCCCCACTCTGACCATCACAGACAAACGCATACACTGTTGGTTTTTATGGTTCTATATCTCATATATCTCACCGTGACTATCGATGTAATTATCTAAAATAGCGGGGGATGGCTAATACGTCAGTAAGAGCAGCCAGATATACTTATCGGCACATCTTTTGGCTGTATCACATTGCACAATGACACCATTGTTCACTAAATAGGGTGAACAATACGTCTATGTGCTAAGAATACGATTTTGCTTTACAGTCACCTCTTTGTGTCACGGCGAGCTGAGTCGTAAATGTCGCCCTGGGAATGACTACTCGATGACATTGTTCAGCAGAGTTAATATGCGTCACGTTACTATGTTTGTTGCTAACCGAGGCTCGGTCCCTGGGGTGTATATGACATCATAGAGACATGTTGGGGACGGAGCGCAACAGCGGACCCCAAAACAAAGCCTTGGCTTTCCCTTCCGGGCTCGAACTGAGAATGTGTGTGTGTGTGTGTGAGTGTGAGAGAGAGTATTTTTGGGAGAGTGGGTTGGGAAGTGCTGTGCATTTTCATTTGAGACTATGAAAGATCGGAAATTTCTTCTAGGGTCAGGTGCCTTTTTCCTTCTTTTTCAATAGCCTGCTGAAGATACAACACCCTCATACACACAAACAAAGAAAAACACACACACACACACCAACACTTTGTGTGTCTGTCACAAATACACACATGATCCGGTGCATGTGTGTGTGAGTCCGGAGTGTTTCACATATCAGTGGGGCCATTGTATGAGCAGTGCAAAGGGCTGAGAGAGGAGTGTGGGATTGAAGAGGTATTTCATAGCCCTGCTGTAACAGGTCACAGAAGAGTTGGCTTTAACTGAGGAGATGCCTCCACTGCAGCAACAGCAAGAAGAGCACACTGCAAGGGCACCTGCAGTGGGCAACCTCATCGTTGGTTGGGTCAAGTAGCAGAATACTTTCTATTGACTAGTGAACTTTTCACAAGCGAGCAGCAACACCAGCCTTGTCTAAGTGCTTATATGTGTAAAAATGTATAGTGCTGACGAGATAGAAGAAATGATACGGCTTCCTCTTTGTATGGGATTCTGCCATCTTTGTTGGAGTACAGCACTTTGTAGTCCCCGCCAAGCTATTTGACAGGATTTGCATGCAGCGCATACTGATGAGGTCTAAGAGGCTCATGATTGGCTGAGGCCCTGTGGCGGGAGTTAAACACCAGTGTCAGAGCAATTTCACAGCGGCCTGTTATAACTAACCTCGTTAATCTGTTCTTATTACCGCATGAAGGCATGTGCATACACAAACACACATATACGTATGCACTCCCCCCCATCTTCCTCTCTCTCTCTCTCTCTCTCTTCCACACACATTCAATCAGAAACTATTGAACACTGTACGTGTAAGTTAGGTGGTTCATTTAATGAAGAAAGACTCACCTGACACAGAAGTAGAGGACAATGGGACCGGACTTCTTGGGGAACTCATGTTCTAATACCCTGCGGTCCAACTGAAGCCAACTAAAATGGCCCCTGATGAGACAAAAAAAAACACATAACAACAAATGAATGCTTTTGGCATTGAATAACCAACCAGGACACACAAAAACATCATCTACACACTGAACGTATTTTTGCTTCAGCCTCGCTACTTTTTTTCCTGTTACCATGTCTTCCCGACTGCCCCCCTCCCCCCTTTCCTCTCTTTTCTCTGTCTCCCTCCAACAGAGAGAGAAAACTGCAGAGACAGCTTGTCACCCTGGTAACCCTGCATGGTCTCCTGAGCAACATCTCTCTCAAACTCTCCCTCCTTCTGTCTCTGAATCTCTCGCTCTCTCCCTCCTTCTGTCTCTGAATCTCTCGCTCTCTCCCTCCCAAACGGCCTCTCTGACCACCGAGCAGTCAGAGCTCAGCCGTGTCCCGAGGCTCACGCAACAAATCTACACATCATAGAATAAGCTCCTGGGGGGGGGACGAAGACTGATGTTGCTCCGCTAGACTGACATTGGCTACAGTATGTGTCACAGACATGTAAATGCCATAGAGCAGAGGCCAGACTGGCATCAGTGGGTGCATGAGATAAGACAAAAGAAGAGAGAGAGAAAACAAAGGCCATGGCGATGTTTGCCTGTATGTAAATCAGTTGTATCTTTGCATGGCTAGTTCTGGACTATGCTGTGGTGCTGCTGTCTTCATAGGTCACCGAACACAATAAAACTAATTTGAATGTCATTTTTGCATTTCAAGCACAGTTCTTGTTGCGATCTCTCTCACGTACAGAGACTTGTGACCCATTGCTAGCCCAGAGCACAACAACCGTAGCCTCATCGTAACATCAAAACCCTTTTGATCATACCTAAGTTTATAGTTCACCATGAGATTCATATTTTCACGTGAAAAAGAAGTGAAAAGTGAATCTATTTTTTTTTTTGTTCATTTTTAATTCGAAGAGCCATTTTATTCCAAAATAAACGTACACAAACAAAAGTAAAACACTGGAAATTCATTTGGAGAAAATCAGGCCAGAAGCAGCAGACACATTTACTGTAAGATTTCTCAGCCCACATTTTGAAATGAAACCATGTAGTGGAACCTGGAGTTTTTTCATAGTGGTGATTTTGTTCACGGTGCAGCATCGTGCTAATGTTAACTTTATGTATTTGACATACATATAGTTAACATTATGCCAATTGTGACATTGCCATTTGTCTTTTTAAAATAAGTGAGTAAATAGAATTTGATGTGGAAACGAAAATAATCCTGTTTTATGTAACAAATATTAGACGAGACATGTGGAAACACATTGAAAGCACAAATATTTTAAATGAGTAAACCCGAAGCAGAAATCAATTAAATGAGGTTTGGCTTTTTTGACGTAGTCGGAAACTAAAATTGCGACACATTATGCTTAAAACTTGAATTCTCAATTTCAGTCTTTCCATCTCTGTCATCTCTGACTACAACTGTGCTGATCTTGGTACCATTGGCATTCACAGGTTCACAGGTTTTCTAAGACTAAAGAAACATATGAACATGTTCACACACTGCACACTTTACTTTGTTTAGCAACTGGTTGCACCAGAACTCTGATATGTTGTCTGCTTCTAGTACAATATGTCCCACGTGTTGTTACAGAGTGTACCTGCTGATCGTCTGGAGTTAGCTCTGATATTATGGGGAAGCGTTGACGAACCCAATCCAACAAACAAGATAAAGTGAAGAGACAGTCCTGGGCTACTGATACACCATGTGCAGTAATGGCATTACTATTTCAATGGGACTTACGTTTCGTCTGTGTATGCAATTCCAAAGTACTCCTTCTCCTTGAGGTTGAAGTGAGAGGACACAAGGTCCAGCAAGTCCTTAGCCATCAGCTTGGGCTGCAGGGGGGACAGAAACATTAGTATTGCTCTGCTTATGTTTGCATTAGTTATAACTTTCCCTGTGTGCGAGTGTACTGGTTTATCACACTGCACTTTAATTGGAACAAGTACATGTGTACAGCTTTATGTTAATGTCTTCTATCAGCTATTGCAATGACTAAGCATTCTGACAAACACTGTGAAAAAGAGGAAAAGAGCAAGAGAGGAGGAGATAAATGAGGGAGAGAGAGAGAGAGAGAAAGATGGATGGAGTGTGTGGATGTTGCTGACAGTGCAGATACCCTGCCCTTCCCCTCCCTCCTTTTCGCCCGTCTGACCCAAACCTCTACTGCAGAGTCATGGCTCTGGGCTCAACCACTGTATAGTATGGAGGGGGCTGCAGCTAGCATAAGAGCTATCTAACTCGTTGATACTGTGGAATACTGCCCAAGCTATATATGATGACAACCTCCATTCATCACAGAGCTCAGAGCATGCAGAGCATCTTCAAGCCAAGCAGAGGCCGGGGACCGCTGCCATATGCTGATGGGTTGAGACATCCTGAGCAACAGCACGGCCCCACCCTGAGGTTAACTATGGGTGTGCCTCGCTGCCTACACACTCATTACACACACACACACACACACACACACACACACACACACACACACACACACACACACACAAATCTGCATGCACATATTCACTTAAGAGCCCATACAGTATACAACATCCAAGCATCCCACTCATAACACAGAGGAGGTACGCATGTGCTGTGTACACGTGACAACAAGAGGAATGTGTGCATACATATACTGTTTGCAAACACACTCACACACACACACACACACACACACACACACAGCTACATGTGCCATAGTGTGCACATTCTTAACGATCTCCCCCTGAGGTCCTGTACTATCTACTCAGTGCACAACTAGAACTTCAGTGACAGAAGCTACTGAGAGCTATTTAAAGACAGGAAGGTGATGTCATGCGCACAGCAGGCATACACGCAAACACACACACATGCATGCACAATATCACACACACACACACACATACAACTCCAATGACCTAGATCTCATACAAGCACGACGCCTACAGTGATCCCGCAACACAAAATAGCTCTGGAGAGGATAGCAGTGAGAGACGCTAACATATACGCTGATTCTGCCTTATATGTGTCACATACAAGTGTTAGACAGAAAACAACATGGCTACCGTACCAGCTGATTCTGTCTCTTTGATCTTACCCTCCAACACAACCCTACAGCATTGGTAAACAGGAGACTACCATTCTGCTATGTTAAGGAATATTGAGGTTATCATTAAAAAAAAACTTTCAAATGCATATTCACATTAAGAAAGATCAACGTACTTCTCAATGTGCAAAATGTGTATTTATACTACGGTTGTATGTAGTTTAAGTAATTCAATTTCTGACCTTAACTGTCTGACTCTGAGAAAACTACTCTGGTAGTCCCGTCCATACTAAGACGGGCTCTTTTGTTTCTCCAAATGGAAGAGGAGCACACGTTCTCTTTGAAGCACTCAGAAACGTTTTAGATGTGCAAATGTTAGGTCTGGAAGCAGGCTATCTTTATAGTATTAGCAGAAATACATGTTTTGGTTCAGTCTGAGACACATACAGCCATGGTCTCTCATTACCCCACAGCAGTTGATTAAACAACATCCATGCCACCACAGCATAACAAACAATGAGCAGGGGGACAAACGGACGAATAGAGTAAACTGTTAGAAAGGGGATATGGAGATGAAATGAGCCCCAGATACACAGTAGAACATCAGAAGTGCACGTCTACAGATGGAAAAGAACAGAAGGACCCCTCTAAGGTTAAGCTGAGCTCCTTGCCTCGCCATTGTTATGAATACCAAGCAGACTGTAAAAACCACATGGGCCGCACTGGACAGTATAATTGAGTTCGGCTCCCACTTCAAGTGACGACTCGCCGCTTCCACGCACGTACACACACGCACACACACACACACACACACACACATCCTGGCGCTGCAGCTTATCTGTGAGATGGCAGATCCCTAACGGATGTGTAATAATGTTGTGGAAGATACCAACAGCGATACGGACGGTGAATGACAGCTATAAAATATGAAAGTGATATGACACGCTGAACACACACGATAACTGACGCACACACACTCCAGACATATACGGGCAATGCAGACACATACAAATACACACACACACACACACACACTATGGAGCCATCCATCAGACAGTCTCTGCTAGCTCAGACAGCATTACTGCTAATAGACATTCAGCCCGGTGCTTCCTCAGCAGCACCGATAATTAACAGTATAAGAAATACAGGGAGGTGCAAGTGAGGAGGAGACATTCTAACGCCAAACTCCCACACAGGTGACAAACACACAACAGTAGCTCACTTGCCTTGCTGGCAGCAAGTCACGGCCCAATCTCTGCAAACAGCTAGTCAGGCCCTTGGCGCCTTCAGGATTGCTCAGATTTATGGGACGCTAACTGATTTACCAGTGCCAGTCCTTAGGAGTCCAAGGGTGGGCAAGGAAAAGGGTTTTAGCCTGACATGTTGTAATATTTAAACTAATACTTTACAGTGTACAGACTTGTGCTCTATAGCGTCTTACCGTTTGACAGTAAAACCCCCCTGACTCTTTATTAATGTACAGTTCTTCACATAAACATTGGACTGGAAGGGCAAGCCTCTTGCACAGCTGACTGCAATACCACATTCCCTCTTCAACCTACCCCACTCTAGCCTTAGGGAGTGATAGCCATATGACTGACATATATATTTTCAGCTGGTGGTGTATTTGGCGGTTAGCTTCAATCTTTACGGCCTTCTGGCACATAGTTCCCTGCCAATGAGGTGTTGCTCCATAAACAAACCACAGAGGACACGCTATCAAAGGCAGGAGGAAGGGGGCGAGGAAGAGGAAAAAAGGGGAATGACACTTGAGGGGATTAAACAGCTGGTCAATGTTACAAGTCAGTGACAGAGCAGAGATGCAGCCCTTTCAGAGGCTAGCCGGACGGTGTGCTTGGCGTGCTACAGGAACTTCACTGAAAACCACAACAGGACTGACTTGACCACACTGCTGTTTAACGATCAACTGAAGTCAAGAAATATTTACACTGCTTGTGAATTATGATCACCCTTTCAAGAAATCCTTTTTTTTTGTTCTGACTGATTGGTTCACCGGAAAACTAAGAATAACATCCGAATTATCTGTGGTCCTACAAACAAATGACTGGCCTCTTGTACATCAACAGCAGTTTCCTGATTTATATGACAATGGTTTGTTTATAACATCCCCTCATTTCTCTCTTGCTAATACCATCGCCAGACTGTAAAAAGCCCATTCGTCACATTGTGTATATTATGTGGTAAACAGAACAGATTTTCTCCCTCACAATGTCTTCAAGTTTCTGTAATATACGACTGTTTTTATTAGACTCTACAAGTCTCTTTTTGTGTATTTCCTTATTGTTTCCTTTCTCGATAGCCAAGAGGATGAAGAATGAGCGGAGGAGAGGATGGATGGGTGAGATACGGAGCTGCTGCAGCTGTATTTGGGAGATTTAGAAGGAGACAGAGTGGAGGCACGTGAAGGCAAGCAAGGAGCTGAGAAAAGAAGATATGGAGAGTGAGGAGTAGAAAGTCAAGAGAGGTGGAGAGAGAGAGAGAGAGAGAGAGAGAGAGAGAGAGAGAGAGAGAGAGAGAGAGAGAGAGAGGTAGAGGGGCAGAAAGAAGTACCAATTTGAAAGAGAGGATCAGTTCAGGCAGAGTAATCGAATCAGAAAGTCAGCAGACCTCTCCTCAACCCCCCCCCCCCTCTTCTCTCTATTCCCATCACTTTAGTGTCATCTCCCGTCTCTCCACTCCTGAGCTCTCATCTCACTTTTCTCTCTCCATCGAAACCTCCTGCCTCAATCTTTCTATTCTCCACTTGCTCGTCTTCTCATGTTCCGGGGCAATTACCTTCTTTTGTCTTTCTCTCTTTTTTTTCCAGCGGAATCAGGTAAAAGGTCAAAGGGGGCTAAGGGAGGTTAGGAAGAGTGGGAGGAGCCTCTAACGAAATGCTTTGAAACCAAACCACGAGAGAGGCAGATCTACAGTAGTACATAACAGGGTAGAGGGGCTTTGGGTGGCTAACAAGGGAGTGACGGGCGTGCTGTGGGTGCTGCTGCTTTTGGACATTACTGCAGAAAGGGCCTGCTGGGAGGGTTGAAGGCTGAAAGTCGGGGGAGGGGGGCAGCATGCTGCTTAGTTTTTCCTGGACGTTGTGGAGGATAGGATGGAGCATTGTCAATTACACAGAGACATTTGTAGGACAAGGGGGAACATTGCCAATTACACAAACAGTTGATGTTTTTTGTCAGATGATTTGGGGCATTTCCGAGGCATTCTGGGAAGACAGTAGGGACGGGTGATGGAAAATGAGCAGTGAAGCAGTGAGGCTTTCTGTTTAGGATATTGTTAGAACTGCATTAGGTCTGCATTGGGATGCATAGCTTCTACAGGGAGAGTAAATCAGGGCAGGGTCTGCACGCTTGTGTGTGTGTGTGTGTGTGTGTGTGTGTGTGTGTGTGGAGAGATCAGGTGAGCATCAAGAAAGAGCAAAGTCACCTACTGCCGACCAAATTTCCCTAGGTCGGCAGTAATTGATTCCCTCGGGACGGCAGACATCACTTCTCCCTCGCTCCGAGGAAATGAGAGTCTGCAAAGAGAGAAGGAAGAAAGAGGAGGAAGAGCTAGAGGGCAGGAGGAAGAGGGACTCACCTGAACAAGGAGCTCCAGCTTCCTGTCGTCCAGGAGATGGACCTGACATCGCCTCCCCTCCGTCATCTGAGAAAAGAAGACAAAGGGATGCTCGTTTAATCGATCTATTATGCATTACACGTTATACAGATACAAACGCAGGGTTTCAAATGGGTCTCCACTGATGCCAATGATACAAAGAAATGTACTTCCATTTCCATTTAACGTGCTTTGTGGCAAGCTAGGCGCGTATATGTGTGTGTTATCTCAGTGAAGTCCTAACAAGGTTAGCTGACGTAACTACACAATGGGCCAATAGAGACAACGTCCCTTCCTCGCTGACATTTCTAGCGTTCCTGCTTGACCGGAAATCCAGCAGGAAATCCATTACGGACTCAAGGGCCACAAAGAGCGAAGCTGCTTGCTGACAACGTGTCAAACAACGAGTGTTTGTCTGTGATGTGGAAACAAGTTTTGCTTAATAGAGCTGCAAAAAGACGATAATATCCGTCTCCCAAGTTCAGGCGTAAACACTGAGCAGGTGCAATGATGAAACAGTCAACTGTGGGAAAGTATGCACCACATACACACCAGTTAGAACAAACATTTCACGCGAGCTACGAAGCCAATTCTCCAAACCTGTCTGAGCGTTTGCAACAAGACTATGGTTTAAAATGAACTCACATATGAAATAAAGCCAAGCATTTCCAGAGAAGATGTACCAACTATGCCGGAGTCTTTAGCACGTTAGGGTCTGTTTGTCTGTGGTGGTGTTTTCAGCACATGTGGAGTTTCTCTAGAGGACCCTGAGGAACACAAACACTCCTTGGCTCCTCCCACACTTCCCTCACATCTGGGAGATGGGGAGGGACTCCCAGGGGGGGGAGGTGTGTGTGTGTGTGTGTGTGTGTGTGTGTGTGTGGAGGGGTAGGAAATGTTGGGAGAAGAGAGGAAAGGTTGGAGAGACATCCTCATTGTCAAACATTTAATGAGAACTCTCTCCAAAACATCAGACGCCGTAAACACGAGCACAAGCGTAACCGGATTGTAACTCTCAAATTACTCAAACTACTCAAATTGGTCACCTGAGGCTCCTGCAATTTAGTAAGGGTGTGTCCACAACGGGCTTCTATACTTTCTCACCGCTCAGCTTGCATCCAGGTGGCAGGTTGGAGGTGAGAGTTTAGCAGAGAGCTGAAGATACCGGAGAATGAGAGGGAGAGGAGGAGTGACAGAGTTGTGTCTCAACACTCATCCCTGTGTGAACTCTGCTGGATGATTACTGGTGTGTACATGTGTATGTGTGGCTTCTAGCTACTTTGAAAGGTTTGGTTTACCCTCCCACTCACCATTGATCTCTTGTGGTTTGAGGGTTTAAGATTGGGTGCACCTGTGCACACAGTGACTGACACACACACACAATATTGGCTTTTGTTATTATCTCCCACCCTCCTGTCATGGACTTACACAACCTTTCCAAAACGTTCCATGTTTATACTGTATACAGTGATTTTAATTACTGCCATGACAACAAATATAGGTACAATAACAACCCAGAGATGGCGAGTGTGTCAAATGTTGATTGCAAATGTATTAGACTGTGTGCAAATATTTAATTTCTGAAAGCATTTTGCTGGCTCAACGAATCTTCGTCATCTTTGTCTTTATAAAGCTTTGACATGTGGTGGCAAGACTATAGTATACAGACCAAACATCTTAATTTAGGCTACAGAATAATTTAAACTGCAATGCAGATAGTGTATACATATACACACACACACACACACACACACACACACACACAGGCACTCTGCCTGAGACACCTGGGAATAGTACAAACCCTAACGTCAAGGTAACAAATCACTGCCTTGAGGCTAAAATTAGGCAGCCCAATCTGGCAGAGACAGACGCTTATTGGTTTTAGTCATAGAATTCACTTTGTGGTATTGGACACATGCTACTGAGTTTCTATCCACCATGAAGCCAAATGTAATAAAGTTTCTATGAATAGCTTCTTGTCATTACACTGTGTTGAAAAAAGAAAGAAAGTGTGGAATATTGCTGCACCATGAGACCCATTGTTATTTGCAAAAAGCCTTTTTTTTTACCATGCCTAAAATCCTAAAATCAAATATATTTGCAACATCTTGACTCTGACCTCTAACGTATGTTGTAAACATGACGTTACATTGTAGCTACAGTGAGAGAAACATGGGCTAGAAACACATGTGGTGTTGGCAACGTCCCCTTGTCCCTGTGTGTGATTCATGCTGTGCGTAATCCACCAACATTTCTGACCCATTACTAGTCAGGTTTCAACTTGCATCCCCGAGCCTGACTCACTGGCAAGAAACGGTGAAATTAAAAGACAAGACATGCAAATGACAATGTATAAAGCGGCCATTTTTTCAAAAAACGTTTCATTGTTTCGCTTGAGCTAACACCTAAATTACAGAGGCGCGCGCGCACGCACACACACACACACCCACACACACAGTTGTCAGTGATGCTTTGGTCAGTGCTGGCGATAACGTTGTCATTAGTTAGTTACCTTGCAAACAAACGCTCTCTGCGAGGCTCCCACACAAAACCGGCTCCAGGTGGAGAGACAAAAAAAAATACAAATAATTAATCCCAGAAAGAAACGAGTCTTGTTACTGCCAGAAAATCGTCAAAAAACACGCTTTTCCCCGGCCGGCCTAGGGGAGGAGGCACATCAGCATCCATGTTAGTGACCATTAGTTAACGTTAGTTACAGCCGACGCAGCTCACTGTGTCTCGTATCCTCCAGACGCCACAGATACGTTACATCTCACGTCTTCGCCATTCAAGCTGGAGATAACTCGGCGCTAATGAACGGCGACTGCGGAGCGTTTTGCAAGGCTGGCTTCTCTCCCTCCTTCCGAAAGCAGGGCGCTTCTCACGGGGCTAGTCCCGGTTGACCAACACTCCCCCCCCCCCCTCTCTCTCTCCGCGCCCCGCGCACACAGTGTGTGTGTGTGTGTGTGTGTGTGTGTGTGTGTGTGAACGTGCGGATAGCAGGAGACCGTACCAACGGTCAGCAACCGAGGGGGGACGACCGGAAGAAATGGCTAAAGGTATCCCAGCCTGCCTTCACTTGCCAGCTATGTTTCTCGCTGTCATCGGAGTTGCTTCAAAAACACGGGGAATAATGGAGGCAAGATGTGGGGGCGGGGAGAGGAGGAGAGGAGGAGAGGAGGGGACATTTTCTGCAGCAACTCACAGCCATGAGAAACTGCAGACCTCTCTCTCTCCCTGTGTGTGTGTGTGTGCGTGCGTGTGTGCTTACAAACCCAAACAGACATCTGTGTCTGCAGAGCACGCCAATAGTCTGCCTTTAAAACAATGCCCTGCTGATACATAACAATGAGCAGTGATCACAGTCTGCCTACTTTATTAAACCAGCTGTACCTTCACAAATGCAGGCTTTGTGAGGGAGAAAGAGTGAAAGACTCTTTCCTCGCATGTCTTGTTACTTTGGCTATACATTTATATGCCAAGCCATGTGTATGTTGATAGATTTCCATAGGCCTGAAATGGTTAAATGTTTCTGCTAAATCCCTGGTCTGGTCTTTCTGTCTCTTGCTCTCCTTCCCTCTCTCCCTCCCTCTCTCTCTCTCTGGAGCTTGTCACTTCCTGTCTGCACTTTTAAAACACAGATCTTCTTGCTCTCAGGTTTGGGTTGCTTGAATGATTCCTGGCATTCAGTCCACTGCAGCCGTTGGACTGACTTTTTTTTTTGTGTGACCTAAATTGGGCTTCTGTGTTCACCTTACACAGCTGGAGCAGCAGCCGTTGAAACCACCAAGTTGTTAACATCAGTCCAGTTTTTGGTTCCATAAATAGATACTAATGTGTGCTGTGAAGGCAGGGCTAGGCCTATATACTGTCAATACAGACTTTGAATGACTCTGCAAGCATAGGCTAGTCTGCTTTCTATTATTGTGTTACAACATACAACAGTAGTGGTAATCCCCACAATATGAAAACAGCGTGAGGCGCCACATGTAGCACATGTACAGCATGCACACATCTTCCGCTTAACCGTCGGCATCGGGGATAATCGGCCATTTGTTGACTAAAGACAACTTCAGCTTAACTTTTCAGATCTCTTTCATAAATACAGTTTGCCATAACCAACCTGTAGTTGCACCGTAGTTGAAATACGACAGGCGGTTCATAATCTTAAATTTGCATGATTCAGCAGAAATCTCTTCCCAGACATTAAGCTATACAAAGATGCAAAAAACATTGAATGTGCTTGGCTTGAACAGTTTTGTTGCTACCATAGTTTATGCTGCAGGCCCACAATTCAGCTTACTTCGCCGAATGTAGAAGGTCACATCCTTTCCCCTCCCTGCTGGATTTTTCTGTTTCTGGATAATTTTGGCCTGCTCCAGACACCGGAAAATGGCCTGTCCAACTTAAACATCTCCAGATGATTCTTTCCTTGGCTTTAATACATGCACCCGTCCCTCTTTCGCTTTCTCCGGTCAAATACATATCTCCCTTTATTGGTAACTTCCTCAGTTGGCTATCACAAGAGCCCTGTTGTTTGACCAATGCAAGGGAGGGAGACAGAAGGGGACAGTGGGGGAATGGGGTAAAACTGACAAAGACTGAAGAAGAGGGTACAAAATAAATTGCAGCAGGAGGATCCTTAACACTTAAACTACACAAGCTTATGAATAATTAGTTCCTGTTTGGATAGGAGTAATGGATAGGAGCCCCAGAAAAGCTGAACAAGAGGGAGACAGATTCACAGAAAAAGCCCGAGAGTAGAAGGAAGGAAGCAAGGCAGGAAGGAACAATAACAAACAGCTGTGATTTAGTGAGCCTCTCTGTCCGATGCTCTTGCACCTTAAACTTCCCGATACATGGTTACCTTTCAATGACCTACAGAGCGTGTTTCCGAGAAGCACAAGGTGAGAACCACTTAAAGGTGTGACATATCTGGGCCCTGACAGAGCCTTGTTATGGAGCCAGTGGGCTTCTATTCTGGGCAGAGGTGTGGTCGTAATGAGGTGCTGATCTGGTGTATTTCTATGGCGTAGGGCTCCAAAGGG